GAAAAGAAGGGGAGAGAAAACTCAAATCACCAACATACATGATGAAAAAGGAAATATCACAACAGACATTACAGAAATACAGAAGATAATTAGAAATTATTTTGAAAACTTATACTCCAATAAAATAGAAAATATCAAAGGCATGGACAAATTTCTAGAGTCATATAATTTTCCCAAATTGAATCAGGATGATATACACAATTTAAACAGATCAATTTCAAGTGACGAAATAGCAGAGACCATCAAAAGTCTACCAACCAAGAAAAGCCCAGGAGCAGATTGATACACAGCCGAATTCTACAAGACTTTTAAAGAAAAACTAATATCAATACTCTTCAATTTATTTCAGGAAATAGAAAAAGAGGCAGCACTTCCAAACTCATTCTATGAAGCCAATATCACCCTGATTCCAAACCAGGAAAAGACAGATCAAAAAAGAAAACTTCAGACCAATATCTCTAATGAACATAGATGCAAAAATTCTCAATAAAATTCTGGCAAATCGAATACAAAAACCTATCAAAAAGATTGTGCACCACGATCAAGTGGGATTCATCCCAGGGATGCAAGATTTGTTCAACATAAGGAAATCAATAAATGTAATTCATCACACATCAATAGACTTAAAGATAAGAATCTTATGATCATTTCAATAGACACACAAAAAGCATTTGACAAGATACAGCACCCCTTCATGTTCAAAACACTAGAAAAATTAGGGATAACAGGAAGATATCTCAACATCATAAAGGCTACCTATGCTAAGTTCCAGGCCAACATCATTCTAAATGGAGAAAAATTGGAGGCTTTCCCTCTGAAATCTGGAACAAGACAGGGATGCCCTCTTTCACTACTTCTATTTAACATAGTTCTTGAAACACTAGACAGAGTAATCAGACAGATGAAACAAATTAAAGGGATACATATAGGAAAAGAAGAACTCAAATGGGCACTATTTGCTGATGATATGATTCTACACCTAGAAGACCCTAAAAGTTCTTCTAGAACTAGTAAATGAATTCAGCAAAGTAGCAGGATATAAAATCAACTCCCATAAATCAAAGGATTTCTGTTTATCAGTGATTAAATCCTCAGAAATGGAAAGAGGAAAACTACTCCATTTACAATAACCTCAAAAAAAAAAATACTTGGGAATCAACTTAACAAAAGAGGTGAAAGAGCTATATAATGAAAATTACAGAACCCTAAAGAAAGACGTCAAAAAAAACCTTAGAAGATGGAAAGAAGATCTATCTTGCTCTTGGATAGACAGAATTAATATTATCAAAATGACCATACTTCCAAGAGCAATATACAGACTTACTGCAATTTCTATCAAAATCCCAATGACATTCCTCATAGAAATAGAAAAAGCAATCATGAAATTCATCTGGAAAAATAAGAGACCCAGAATAGCTAAACAATCCTCAGCAGGAAGAGTGAAGCAGGTGGCATCACTATACCAGACCTTAAACTATAATACAGAGCAATAGTAACAAAAACAGCATAGTATTGGCACCAAAATTGAGTGGTACAAAATAGAGAACACAGAGACTAACCCACAAAATTACAATTATCTTGTATTAGACAAAGGTGTAAAAAACATGCATTGGAGAAAAGATAGCCTCTTCAACAAATGGTGCTGGGAAAAATGGAAATCCATATGCAATAAAATGAAATTAAACCTCTATCTCTCACCATGTACAAAACTCAACTAAAAATGGATCAAAGACTTAGGAATAAAACCAAAGACCCTGCATCTAATAGAAGAAAAAGTAGGCCCTAATCTCCATCATGTGGGATTAGGCCCCAACTTCCTTAAGAATTAAGATCAAGAATCAATGGGATGGACTCAAACTAAAAAGTTTCTTCTCAGCAAAAGAAACAATCTGTGAGGTGAATAGAGARCCTCCATCTTGGGAGCAGATCTTTATCCCTCACACATCAGATAGAGCACTAATCTCTAGGGTATATAAAGACTCAAAAAGCTAAGCACCAAAAAAGCAAATAACCCAATCAATAAATGGGCCAAGACCTAAACAGACACTTCTCAGAAGATGATATGCAATCAATCAACAAATATATGGAAAAATATCCATCATCACTAGCAATTAGAGAAATGCAAATCAAAACCACTCTAAGTCACTCCAGTCAGAATGGCAACTATTATAAAGACAAACAATAATAAGTTTGGCAAGGATGTGGGGAAAAAGGTACACTCATCCACTGCTGGTGGGACTGCAAATTGGTGCAGCCAATATGGAAAGCAGTATGGAGATGTTCTTGGAAAATTGGGAATGGAACCACCATTTGACCCAGCTATCCCTCTCCTCAATCTATACCCAAAGGACTTAAAAAACAGCACACTACAGGGACACAGCCACATCAATGTTTACAGCAGCACAATTCACAATAGCTAAACTGTGGAACCAACCTAGATGCCTTTCAATAGAAGGAAAAAAAAAAACTGTGGCATATATACACAATGGACTATTACTCAGCAAAAAAGAGAATAAAATCATGGCATTTGCAAGTAAATGGATGGAGTTAGAGAAGATAATGCTAAGTGAAGTTAGCTAATCCCCAAAAAAACAAATGCCCAGTGTTTTCTTTGATATAAGGGGGCTAATTCATAGTGGGTCAGGGAGAGGGAACATAAGAGGAATAGATGAACTCTAGATAGAACAGAGGGGTTGGAGGGGAGGGGAGGGAGCATGGGGTTATAATTGATGGCGGAATGTGATGATCATTATTATCCAAAGTACATGTATGAAGACATGAATTGGTGTGAATATACTTTGTATACAACCAGAGATATGAAAAATTGTGCTCTATATGTGTTATAAGAATTGTAATGCATTCCACTGTCATGTGTAAATAAAAAATTTTAAAAATTAAATTAATTTCACCTATTTTTAATTAGAATACTGGGAATTTTTAAATTATGTATGTGGTTTACCTTAGGTAGATAATCCTCCCTGAGTGGCTGGAACAACTTAGCTACTCTGGATAGAAAAAGCTTCTAACATTCAACAGGCTCCATTTTAGTGGAAGGGCTTTCCAACAGCACCCTCATTCAAGTTTATAAGCTTTAATTCTGTTATATAGTGGTACTGCAACCACTACTAACCCAGGTTCTCCGGTCCTCCTCACAATTCAAAGCACCTGAGCTTTGTTTTAACTATGTAAACTCCTTTTCTGTCATCTCCTTCTCCTCCCTCTTCAACACCAATTTTTTTCCAATATAAATATATTTATAGCACCATATAAATACTGAATTTATACTTGCTACATACATCAGTTTCAACAAAACTTCTCCCAGAAAAATGCATAAAATAAAGAATGCAATGTGGTAAAGAGCACTGACTTCAGATCAGGAGGAAAAAGCTAGCTTTTACTCCTGCCTCTGACCTCCTTGGGTAAGCCACATAAGTCTCAGGCCCCCTGTTTCTACATCTGGTCTGAGAGGCAGGGCTGAATTACCACAATTTAATTCAAATTATAGGTCATAAAATCCTTTTAGGAAAAAAAAAAAAAAACCTTTTAGAGATTAAAATTAACTTTGTAAGAAAATACTAAAAAAAATAGAGTACACTACATTTATTAAAGACATTTTATCAAACTTATGTTCCATGTATATATATTTTTGTAGCAGTTGCAATATAAAATGCATGTCTTACTGCATGTTAAGAGATTGAAGCTCTGATGCAGGTAATCTCTTAAAATCCTCTATAGTTTGGATTCTTACAGATTCATTTGTTCTAAAATTATTCCAAGACCAGTAAATCACAAGTATAAAAACCACAACTTAATATGGAAAGGTTTATCAAAGCTAAAATTTATTTAGTGCATACTCTGCTTGCTATCATGTATTTTCACATATATATTTAATATGTAAAAGCAACCATGTGAGTATTTACAGGTTCAAAAAAATAAAAACACCACTCACTTCCTTGTTCAATAAAAGGAGTTATAAGCATTCAAAAAAAAAAGAATACACCAGACTTAGGCTTAGTCTATTTCCATTTCCTTTTATACATCTTCTACATATATTACACACTTTTAGCATTACATGAAAAGAGAATGAAAGGCAATCTTTGCTATAATTTTTGTCTAYGGGTGCTCTTTAACTTACCAATTTTCTACTCTAAGCACAAAGGACTTAAAATATCTGCAATGATTATAAAGGGATCTAGTGTCAAAACAATTTCATAAAAGTGTAGCACCATTCCCTCAGTGAAAGAGCAAATTTTAGCCAGTGAGAATTACTTAAGAATGATATGATTTTTTCATATAACAACTTTTCATTTTTAGAAGTTCAAGTCAAATAAACTGTTATATTAAGATTTCCTTCTAATTAAGAATTCAACACTGGCATCAAGTTATTTTATAAGGTTAAAAAATAATTCCCCAGGGGCTGGATGGAGTGTGGCTCTGTGGCAGAACATTTGTCTAGCACATGTGAGGCACTGGGTTCAATCCTTAGCACCACATAACAAATAAAATAAAGGTATTCTGTCCATCTACAACTTAAAAAAAAAAACTTAAAACAATAAAAATTTCCTAATAAGTCACTACTAAATTGTTACAAAGAAAAGTTCTCCTATAATCCATCTTATTCTACATGTAAACTTTTCCCAAAAGAAATATTAATATTATACTAAAAACAAGACAGCTAATTTGGTCAAGTTGTAGATGTATTTGACAAAAACATTTTTGATCTTCCAAGTGTTTTTCATTTCTTGGTTAAGTTTCTTTAGCAATCTTATCAGTCCTTCCAAATTCATGCTACAAAGTATTTAGCTTCAAAAACCAGACATGAGAGCTGACTTATTTTTTTAAGTGCCCTCTGAACTGAACGCTATTATTAATATTAAGCAATATTAATGTCATCACATTTTGTAGTCAAGTACCGCATATTAAATATATTGTGTGTACGTGTATGTGTGTGTTTTTCAACAAATATTTAATTCCAATGAATAAACATAGTACCAGCACACTAAACTTCATATGATTTATTTTAAATGATTGCTGGCTCCAGATAATTAAAAACCACAAACTGTATGGCAGCAACTATAATACATACACAGTTCTTTAAAAGTTTTAAAGTTATCACATAACGGTGAAATATAATTTTTAAAAATACAAATGACATTTATAGCATAAGGCTCTGTGGTTGAAAAATCAGCAAATTAAAAAAAAACATCTGAGACAGATTTTGAAAAATAAAATGTTTCCTGTTAGGAGAATTTATTCTTTGCTTTCTAAAAATGGCTGATTATGAACATTACAATGTACAAACAAAAAGTTCCTGGAGTCCCTAGAAAAGAAAGAATTAATAGTAACAACTTATGAGTTCAGATTATCATGGCAACTGAAAATTAATCTGTGGGTAGCCAGAACACATAACTGCTCGTTTTTAAAGTTTATTACATTTAAAACAATACAGAAGAAATCTCAAAAGTTTACTCATGAAATATAGTTTAATTCTTACAAATTTCTTTTTGAAAATGTGATTCATATATGCTACAACCTCAGAAGTTGAAACCGCAGAATCGGAAACAGAATATAAAGGCAGTAGTCAGGGAAATCACATCAGAGTGCTTCGTCAAATATCAGTACAAATCAGTACATACCTCTTCTGTGACACAGTAGGGGAAAAAAATGGATTCTAAATATATCCAAGTAAATGCAGAAAAATACATTGCTATTTGAGGCAGATCATGCTAAAATATAATTCACAATGATTAGTTTGCATTTGAGATGGTTGTTAATGATGCTTTTAAACCAATGAAATCAAATTAAATTTTGCAGTATTTCTCAGACTTTTGTACTCAACATTAGTTCATCAAAAAAGCTTAAATGATTGAAAAAAGCAAATGACCTGACCCTTCTTTTTATGCTTATCATTTTCTCAAACTAAATGCAAACAAATCAATATAGCATCAAGATTTTTCACATACTAAAATGAAGACTAATGACTCATGAAGGTAGACTGTACCACACAGTATGTAACAGGTGAGCCTGCAGTTACCATCAACTCAATTTTTTAATAACATCAAGATTTACAAGCCAAAATAAACATTTGATTTAAAAATTCTGCTATTCAAGATAACTCAGTTGTCCTTTTTCTCTTTGAGATTGGTAAGGATTGGGTCTCTAAAAACCTGAAGAGTTGTTTGTAAGAGGGAAAAAAAATCCTCAATGCTTTAAAAAACTCAACTGGTTAGGAGTCCATACAATTACTATGCTGGCTGGCATGAAAACATGTGTTTTCTGTCACAGGACCATTCACTTTCCCATAGAAGCAGTTTCTTCAAGCCATCTATACAGAGATGTAAATCAGCTTACCCATGATTAAAACAGAAATAATCCTTGAAAAATAGGAGTAAGAAACCTCACCCAAAAAGATCTTTTAAATCATTGCTAGCTGAACTGCTACTGGTCATAGTAGTTGGTGGCTGTGCAAAATTCTGTGGGCTAAAGAATGGATTACCCTGCATACCAAAGGCAGATTGTCCCATCATGTTCACTTGTGTTCCCATTACTGAACTGCCCATAACTGGAGAACCTTGAGGAGGTACGAACTGATTAAGCCACTGATTTGGTTTCTGTTGTGACAGTTGGTTCATGCTAACTTTTGGTTTCTGGGGGCCAAAGAGATTATTAAGGGCGGACATATCTGTGGGTCTTTGTTGAGTCTGCTTCACACCAGCAGGAGGAACACTCAAAGCACCGAAGTTTGGCAAAGTAGAAGGTGCTCCCAGAGTCATTTTGGTCGCTCCAGGTGTGCTTGTACTACTGAAGAAGTTCTGGTTTGTATTAACTGGCATGTTGAATCCTGAAGTCTGAAACCCCATGTTTGCATTTAGGCCATTTGTCAAATTTCTCTTTGTATTATCAATTGGTGTAGAAAACATCATACCAAGGCCCGCAGAAGGAACAGAAGTGAAGGTGCTCGAAGTAGAAAGTTTAGGGGTACTAACAGAAAGGCTTGTCAAAGATGACATATTATCCATCAATGTGTCTGTCAAGTCCTTAGTCTGAAAAATATGAGGGAATCACTTTTATCTCCAAGAAATCCAAATTAATTTATAATTGGCAAATATGTGACAAATTAAATTATAAAGGACAAAATTAAAATTAATCTCAAGGGTCTACACTAAGTTAGCAAACTACAGCCTGTAAGACAAATAAAGCCTGCCATCTAAACTTTAAACTCCAATTAAGTGATATATTATCTCTGCAAAGTAAAAATGCATTCTTCTCAATAAACTGATATTACAAAAAAGAATACTATTTTTATATTTTTAATTTCATCAAAATTTCATGGGAATTTGTTCCCTTAATAATTACCTTATAAGATATTCTTAATTTTGCCTCTCCACCTATAAAGAATTTTTTCTCAGAGGAAGAATTTATAATTAAGAGGCAACAGAAAAAAAATTAAGAAAGCTTTTAAATACAATTACTTCTTAAAATAGTAAGATATGTAAACTCTCTCTCTACAAACAGAGTTTTATTCACTGCCATAGCACCAGCATCCAGAACAATTTCTGGAACATAGTAGGAAGTAAATACTGGTCAGGTGACACAGATACATTTTCCGAAATCAAGTTAAAAAAAACTAATAAACTATAACTGAAAACCAAAAATATAAAACTATTTTTAATTCAAAAATACATAAGCACAGGGCTGGAGTTGTGGCTCAGTGGTAGAGCATTTGCATAGCATGTGTGAGGCCCTGGGTTCAATTCTCAGCACCACATATAAATAAATGAATAAAATAAAGGTCCACCAATGTCTAAAATAAATAAATATATATGTATGTATATATATATATAATACATAAGAGCATGAATATATTAATAATACTCTTGATCATTTCAAAGTGAAGAGAGTTGAAGAAGAACTATGAGACCTAACTTTTTYAAAAACCTCACCTATTCATTCAGCTTCCTCTTTACTGATAGTAAGCACTATCATGAAACACTGTACATTAGCCAAGTTATGAAGGAACTGCTAGAAAAGCCTTTATGCTCATACTTTTTTTTAGAAACAACCAATTAAATTATTCTTTGAAATACATCTTTTACAAATAATAGTAGGCTAGTTTCTACTCACTAGTAGTATACTTTAATTTATGCAAAAGAAATTAACTCTGACCTGTTTGACTGGAGCAACTGGTTTGTGTACTTGGGGTTTAAGAGGCTGCTGGCTTTTCAACTTCTGTGCCTGCTCCTGTTCTTTTGCTAATTTTTGCTTTTCTTCAAGTGTAAGTGATGCCTTCAAATAAAAGAGAGCAAAAAATCAACTGGCAACTACATAAATMCATTTATAAAACAAAATATTTCTTCTTTAGCTTTAGGCAGAAATTCACAGAGTCTGTGCTAAAATATTTCTAGTATGAAAACAGCTATCATTTTAAAATCGTTTATTAGAAATATCTTGTTCTAGTCAATGAGAATATGATTAAGTTATTTCATTCTGCAATTGAGAGATCTTATTCAACTCTAACTAGTTCTCTCAAAAAAATATTTTAGAAACTTACCAAAAAGCCTAGGAAAAACTAAACAAATACATTCTTACACTACTAACAGCTGCATCAGATCTGAAATCTTTTTCTTTTATTAACAACCTTGCTACCCCTTAAGGTCATCCAACATATTCTCTTATAATTTTACAAACTATTATGACCAGCAGTCCATTTATATGTACAGTACTCATATTTGGTGAATGAAGAGAAGAACAACAGCAGAGGTCAAAAAGTGACGTAAGTATTTTYTTATATTGGTGTAACTAAAATTTCAATAGAAAAGTATCATTGTAGAGTTTACTATTTAAAATTAGAGGAAGAACAAACTTTAATAGGAAACAGAGAAAAAAATCTACTCAGATTTTTAATTCACTATGAGATGGAATCAAATCTATTTTGGAAATTATCTTTCAAATAGCATTGGCTCACCACTAATAAGTCATATTGAGATCATATATTCCTGACAGAATAAACCAAGAGGGGTGTATACTCCAACATTTCTGTGGTATTCTTGCCAAAAATGAATAAATGTTGACTAATTATGAGAAAATAATGGCATACACAAATTGAAGACCATACTACCAAATAACTGACTGTACTCTTCAAAAAATGTTAAGGTAGGGGCTGGGATTGTGGTTCAGTGGTAGCATTTGCCTAGCATGTGTGAGGCACTGGGTTCAATTCTTAGCATTGCATATAAATAAATGAATAAAATAAAAGTCCATTAACAACTAAAAAAATATAAAAAATAATCTTCTTAAAAAAAACCAAAGTAAAAGCCTATAATGAACTATAAAAGTTAAAGTTGTTACCACAGAATGAAAGGGAAGAAGAGAGGTGAAGTTGTTGGGCTAAAAAAAAAAAAAAAAAAAGAAAGAAAGGAAAAAGTTTAGAACTCAAATTGGTGGGATATAGTGAAGAGAGAAATTAAATAACTGAAGAACCACAATTAGGGAGAGCCAAAGGTAGATACACAGCATCAATCTGAAGTGACTGCCATCAATATAGGAAACACAGAGTGAGAAAAGACAGGCAATCTAGAAATGCTACCATGTGGGAGGTCGAGTAATAAAGAAGCCAAAAATCTTAAGCTACATGGGGTAGGTCATGTTCCAACGATGAAGATATTTCATGAAGATAATACAAAAAGATAATTACAAAATGTTTCTTATTAAGATGCTAAATAGTGTTCCCTAATAAAAACCCATGGTTTACAGGAAATCCTTCAATATAAATAAGAGTGCTAAAAAAGAGTAAAGAAACTCACTCTTTTATGTCTATTTTGTAACTCATCTTCTTTACTTTCTGATTCACAAGTCAGAAGGTCTGTTCCAATGTTGTTAAAAACCTTGTCAATCTAGTGAAACAGAAAAATTCCATCATTCAAAGAGACTCCAATAAAAATGTGATTTTATCAGGGAGGAAATAAAAAAATACTTAGAGTAAATGAGAACACTGATACAATATATCAAAATCTCTGGGACACTATGAAGGCAATGCTTAGAGGAAAGTTCATTGCAGTGAATTAAAAGAATAAAAAGTCAACAAATAAATGAGCTAACATTATATCTCAAAGCCCTAGAAAAAGAAGAACAAATCAACACCAAAAGAAGAAGACAGGAAATAATTAAAATCACAGCTGAAATCAATGAAACTGAAACAAAAGAAACAATTCGAAAAATTGATAAAACGAAAAGTTGGTTCTTTGAAAAAATAAATGAAATTGATAAACCTTAGCTACACTGACAAAGAGAAAGAAAACTAAATTACTAAAATATCACGATGGACACTAATAAAATATAGAAGATAATTGGAAACTATTTTAAAAATTTATACTCCAATAAAATAGAAAATCTCAAAGACATCAACAAACTTCTAGAGAAATATGACCTACCCAAACTAAATCAGAAGGACATACACATTCTTTTTTTTTTTTTTTTT